ACAAAGTGATATGAGGAGCTGAATTTTCAGACAGGGCATACAAGTCCTGAATTTCACTGGGCAGTGCAGCCAAAGCTGCCACTCCCTGAGGCCTAATGTACAATTTTTAAATGTCAACTGTGGTTATTCTCTGGGATGTCTCTATTCCCTGAAGAAGATGTGTGGTTCATTTCCTCCTGAGACAGGTAAGGCAGCACCTGAGCACAAATCCCATTCAGTCTCTTCACTATTTCTGCCTGTCAAGAAAACAAATGAAACAAGGTCAGACCAGAACAACACAAGACATGGGACGACAAAAAACTGCATTATAGAGAGGAATCACCTGTTTGTGCATTTCAATGTTCAGCCCATAGGACATTTCGTAGTACTACAAATACAAAAGGGGAGAAAAACATAATATACATATTTTCTGTACCTTTTGATCCCACACACAAACTGGTGTACTATATGTATTAACAATGCCTGGATACTGCAAACTCAAAACAACTAAAAGTCAGTTTATACACTAACAACAAAACTAACACAGTGAAGGAGTGACACACACTTCACTAAGTACGTTGGTATATTGTAGGAGTCAACTAATAAAAAGCCACACTGCACTGACAAGAAATTACAACAGACATACCATGATATAGTGCCGCTGCATCTCTGACTTCTCAGAGGCCAGTTTATCACACTCCAACTTCAAACTGTTAAGACAGAAAAATAATAATAATCACCTTTATTAATTATTATAATATGTGCCACTGAAATGTAGAAGTTAAAGTATGAAGTAGGAGAAAATAAAGTACAGATACCTCAAAACTGTACTTAAGTACAGTACTTGAGTAAATGTACTTAGTTATTTTCCACCTTTGGACATACATGCGCCCTCTGAGTCCTTTTGTTTAAAAAAAATGTTTCTGACTAAACTTATGCAGGACAGATGCATCATTACCTCTGGTAACTTCCTATAATGGTGTTGGGCTTCTAATATTAAAGTCCAGGCAAAGAAGAAACAAACATACAGTGGGTATGGAAAGTATTCAGACCCCCTTAAATTTTTCACTCTTTGTTATATTGCAGCCATATGCTAAAATCATTTATTATCATATTTCAGTTTTTCTTTTTTAATAAATCTGCAATAATGTCAAAAATTCTGTGTTTTTCTGTCAATATGGGGTGCTGTGTGTACATTAATGAGGAAAAAAAATGAACTTAA